CCTTCCCTTTCAAACGCCTGCCACGCAGGCTACCTAAAAGCTAAAAATTGTAGTCTTGAAACTGTAAAACACGTGATTTTTAAAGTGTATCCGTACCCAACTCATGCATTAAACAGCATCCATAGGTTTGTCAGCCGGTCAGGGTAAAAGGAAGACCACACAGTGACTACAGACAGCGACGAAACCCTTTCGTCTGGCTCCGTCCAACTCGCTGATTCTCGCACACGCTCAAAACACCAGCCCCATAAGTTCCGACACATCGCCACCAACACCAATGCCTACAAGTACTCCTTCTTCCCTTGCACAATCCCTTTATGGAGCAATCTGCCTAATGAATGAATGAATGAATGAATGAATGATTCGAAGACGTGGGAAGTGTTTACACAATCTTCCGAGCCAGAGCCTCATGTTAAAAACGCTCGACAAACTAAAAAATACAAAACAGGATAAAAAGTGAATTACGTATATACAAATATTAAGAAAAACCTAAAAACATCGTAATTTTGGGAAAATTTTTTTAGAAACTATTCTCTGAAAAAAAAAAACCAACACTAAACTAACCTAAGAGCATGCATTAAAAATAGTTTAAAATACAGCCGCCCAATACAGCCGCCACTGCTACCAGCCTTCCAAGTATCAGGTGCACCCAACGACTGTTTTCTGTAAAATATCTGTTCCAGGAGCAAATATTGCCTAGAATTTTCGATTACTTGAGGACAGCTAAAAATTTTTAGATGACCTTTCCATTCATGTAAAATTTTCGAATCTTATCTGATAACTTCCCTACGATTTTCTGAAGTTTAACCAGTTTCGCATTTTACTTCCCAAGTTAGGCTATTTTTCGTAGGAAAAAAAGGATACCTAAAATTTTCAGATTCAAAAATGTGATGGAGCGAGGAATTAGAAAATGTCTCACTTTCGTAATACGTCAAATTTCATCTAACATTTTCGGGAGAATTGTATTCAAGGACCACCCTTCAAGGGCTTGAAATTTCGAAAAGGTTCAATTTCCCCTAGGATGACCGAACAGATACCGGCAAAGTTTACAGCGCCGCTTAGAAGTGCTTTTCTAGAGATCTGAAAGTACTACTCTGGATAGGCTAAAAAGTGTTTTCAATGCATTTAGGAGGAAACCATCGTTGGGTGCCCCTGGACTATATGCCCTGCCTATCATTAGAACCTTCTGCCACCCTAATTGACCAATGAAACCTTATTCAGTTTAATATTGCATTTTATTTTTGTTTTGTTTTGTTTTTTCTTTCTAGTATCTTTTGGATTAGAATATGTGTGTACATTAGCCAGTTGTAAATTTGTAAGTGTGCAGTACGATATCCTGTAAAAATGTATTTTAATTGACATTTTTTAGCATCCTGTATAGTTGTAAGACTTCCAGGATTAAAATATAAGAAAGTAACTAACTAAGTAGGTACAGTTTACTAGGGCGGACGGAGGATATTGTGATAGAGGGGGCCAGAGATATAGAATACAGTGGCAATATGGGCGCGTTAGCGTCCATCAGGACTGCCAGCGGAGCACTTTTCTAGGGAGTTTCGGGCGCATGCTCCTCCCAAGGGCCAAGGTTACGTAAGTACAATATATTTCTATGTTCAAGCCTATATTTCTACGTTGTAACAACTATATTGAATTTCTTATACAAAGTCTTTAAATCGTTCGTAATATACAAAACAGTATCGAAACTCGCGGTAATTTGTTCACCGAGCTTGGGGCGCCAGTGCTCCTCCGGGAAAATTTTTTTGAGATTCAGAAGTTCGCTGAGATGCAATCTAGTGCATTCTGGACGCTTAAATTTAGCAAATGCCTGGATTCCACGATATTGAACATGTAATGCTGTATATTTAATAAACCACAGGTGTGGTTGTGGTCAAAGAAGTAATTCTTGAAGACGGAATCCACCAGGACATTGAGTAATTTTGCTCAGTTGACAAAAATCTTGTACCAGAATACTTTAAAGCATACAGTAAAACCCCGCGTATAAGAACCTGGATTTTTTAATTTAGCCTTAAATGTTCTTATATAAATGGTGCTTAAAGCAAATTTAGACTACCAAGGTTCTTAAAATAGGTTCATATATTTCATATGAATTTCCTTTAAAAAGAGAAAAAATTTGTTATGTCAAGTTATAATTACTTTTAAATGTAATCAGATGATGATCTTAATTCAACAGTTTCTACCTATACACTTTTACAGCAAGCCCACTGATAAGAACCTAACTTAAAATTTTAGTCCAATAGGTTCTTATGTGGAGGGGGCTTTAAATGAAAATTTTAGCCCGAGGTTCTTAGTTCTTATACGCGGGGTTTTACTGTATTGCATTCTTTCTTATATTTTTCAAGGGCTGAAGATGTCATAAATCATCTGTGGTAACACCAAAAAAAATTTCTTATGGAAGCCCGAGAAAATGAATGTCAAATTTTACAAAATTTCATGTTACGCACGAATTTTTCAGAATTTTACCTGTGTAATCACAATTCTTGTGAAATTTGACATTCATTTTCTCGGACCAAAAACAGTTAAGTTGTCAAGCACAAAAACTTTTCAGTCATAAGAAGTTTTTTTGAGAAAGCTAAATTTTCAGTGAACAAATTTCCCTGGGCCCCGTTTCTTGAAACTCCCTCTATAAACTTTTAGGGCCCAAATTCATATTTTCAAATCAAAATCTGAAGAATAAAAGCGCGGTCCCTGGCTACGAAACCAGTCCGTTTTGTTTTCGTTTAGCCTGTACACAGACGTTGTTTTGTTTTGCTTTTCATTCTTTGCGAAAACATCGGCGAGCCTGGCGCGCGAGAAAGAAACATTTTATCCTTCCCCACCCCTTCCCCTTGCTTTGGCGGTCCATAAATCCCCCGCGGTTTTTGTTTTTTATCACGCGCGCTTGACGGACTCGACAGAAAATAGAGGGTCTGTGAACGGGCAAGCTTTCTTTCACTATGAAATTTTTATCAACTATCATGTTTGATCTTTGCAAAACTATTGAAATGTCTATCACTGAATGTAAACAACAACAGCTTTCCAGGCCTGTTAATTATCAGGACTTTCGAGAAACAGGACCCAGGGTCTCCATGACGACGAAGGTGGCAAAGGAGACAATGCACCCCTGGGAATGACGTTGTCATTGTAGCACCAGGATGAGGTTTACATGAATAAAGTTACCTGACCCAGCCATATCCCATAACATTTTTGTATTGAAAGGTACAGCTTGTTACAGGCAATCACAAACATCACATGCATACAGGCTCAATCTTTCTAATATGAAATGAAGCTATTGCATTGGCAAAACTCAAGAAGGACTACAATCTCCCTACTATATACCCCAGCACGATGATCTAAGCAGTGGAAAGATAAAAGGAAGGATGATTTATTTTCCAGTCACTTACAATTACTGCAATACATTACATTGGTATACAACAGCAGGATCACTTAATTTGCAAAGTCATAGTCCACGGTACAGTGACGGTACTCGTCGACGATAAATCCTGCATTAAGTCCCCCGGAGCTTATTTATTTCAAACACATTTTGGTGGGGGAGGGGGAGCTTAATAGAGAGGGAGAGCTTATTGGAGAGGGGAGGTTTCAGGATTTAATTTAGCCAAGGTGATGGTACCAGTTCTCAATAAGGGACCGGTCAAAAATTAGAGGTGGGGGAGGGCTGGTGCAAACATTGGGAGGGCCATGGTTTTTCATGCAAACACAAAAGGGAGGGTCAAACAATTTGGTGCATGTCATTAAGGGGGGGCCATTATTTTTTATGCAAAGATGTTGGGGTCAAGGAGTCAATCTACAATTCCTCTGTAGTCACAGTCATTCTTCTGTAAATATAATATGGAACACATTCTTTATTTGATGACTGTTGAATATAAACATGTTTTTTTAATGACACTTCCAGGATGCAATTACCTGAAGAAAATATATACATTTATAGATGCTCATTTTATCATTGGGGAGATGTTTCTTGAATACTTTAAAGGCTCTTGTGTGAATACTACAGGGACTTTATGCGACTATTGTAGCTTGAATGAGAAATGTTGTCCAGGAATTGATCGTGTGCCAAGACCATTTCCTGATTACGAAAGCACTGGACTTCATTATCTTCCAATGAATAAGACTCCGATGGCAAACAGGATAACTGATGATTTCCATCCTAGGGTGCAATTAAAGAAGGCTTATGTGTTAGGTGAATGCACCTTAGACAATCCAAACAAGATTTTGGAATTCAGTAAAAAGTTTGTGGTGTCAGAAGAATGCATCAGA